TCGACTAATTCATATTCTTTTAAACCGTGGGCCAAACAGTGCTCATCTTTGGGCTGAGTTCAGCTCATGGGCCATTGGTCCACAACCTCTTGTCTATAAAATGTCGAGGGCTGTTCTAGGCACCATGGGAGATGTTTGAGGTTAGAAAGCATTTCAAGGGCCTGTCTTACTTGGAGGACCACCCAGAGCTTGACACAGAGTACCAGATCCTGGGTCCCTCTCTGAATCCCCAAGCATTTGCATGTGAGCCTCCATTTCTAAAGAAGGCAACCTCAGTTCAGTAAGCAAGGCACAGTGACAGGGATTTTTGGCAGCCCTTGTGGCACGGCCAAGGGGAGCTGTGGAAAAACCCACGTCACCCTTAATTTTTCTGCCTTGTCCAGTGCTAGGTTTTAGGGCCAGTGTGCCCCAAAGGTCACTGCTGAATGCTGGCTAAATTAGAGTGTGCCCACAGGGTGTCCTGAGACCGAACCTTGCCCTGCAGAGATCTGAGTACAGCTGCAGGTCTCAAATCAGCCCACCTTCCCAGAGGAGGCCTGCGAGGATACAGTAATAACCATCATTCACCGCCTCTTGGTTCTCTTGACAGTTTTAAAGCATCTGGCTGGATCTCGTGGCCTTCCCCCTCAGACTCCCCCGTGTCTCTGCGAAGGCGTCCTGGAGTTACTCCCCAGAGCAGCGGTGGCGACGGCGGCAGCAGCAGCAGCAGCAGCAGCGGAGGGGAGCTGGGTGTCGGGGTGGGCATTAGATGTGGGAGGGGGGGTGTGCTTGCTAGCTGGGCAGCAAAGCAGCAGTGGACCTGCCCCAAGGCCACATGTGCCTGGTCAGGCTGGCTTCTGATGTTCAGTCCCCTGGGCCGGGACAGATTTTTTTTTAACGTCTTGAAACTTAAAACTCTGTGCTTGTAGGAGACTGTAACCTTTTTGTCTTTTTTTTTTTTTTTTTTTTTTTTTTTTTTTTTTTTAAACAAACAACCTCCACCTCCAGTGGCTGTGACTGGTCCCAGTGATTGTACCTTATTGGTCGCTGTGGGTCTGGGCGGGCCTGGAGCCAGAAGGCGACTACTGTTCCTCCCTGGAGCCACCACAGGTGGGGAGGGAGGGAGGTTTCAGACTCCAGTTCCTCTCCCTTGTTCTCTTATTTCCTTGGGCCCAGTAGAAGCGGTGGAGACCCTCTGCCAGCTTCCTGAGCTCTGCCTGAAGATGGCCACCGAGCACTGGTTGGGGACAAGGGCTGAACTGGTGGCCACCAGCCACGCCTAGGAGCTGGGGCCTGAAAGCTAGGCAACCTCTGGCCGCAGGGGCCTCTTCGTGCCCTCCCAGCTGAGAGGGGCCGCTGTTTCGCCTTGTCTTTCAGTGCAGTGCCTGTGCTAGAGGTTGAGAGGTGAGTCCTCCAGAGCTTCCCGGCTGGGGCCTCCTGCCTGCTCTGGCTCCTCTGCTCCCACGCTCGCTGTACCTTTTCTTATTCTGGTGGATCCTCCCTCCCCTAATTAAAGTCTCTTTTTGCCCCTCTGGGGGTGCATGAGGTCTGTGCTCTCTGTGTATACGTGAAAAGAGGGGAGGTGAGGCTTTTTCTTCCCTGAAACAATCTGGCTGGCACTTGGGCCTGGGAGTCCCCACCAGAGACAGTTTCGTGATTGGCCCCTGGCGTTAGTCCTGCCGAGGGCCCTAACCCAAGAAACCTCCATTGCAGTCCGGGCTCCACCCATTTCTGAAACTGCTCTCTCTGTCTATATAGACCTTTGGTCCTTTTCACGTAATGAGCTCATTTGGGCTAGAAGGTAACCTCAGAGAAATAATGATCCCATTTCATGGCCAAGGAAACTGAGGTTCCATGAGATGCAGCAGCCTGCCCCGAATCTCCCAGCTAGTGAGCAAGGGGGTAGAGTTCAAATCCAAGATTTCTGCCTTTACCTGTGCTGACAGTAATCACTAGCCACGTGTGTCTAATTGTGACAGTTAAAACAGTTTAACATCTACTGTCTCAGTCCTACCAATAGCTACAGGTTGCTGATGCCTGCCGTGTCACAGGGTATGTAAATAGAACATTTCCATCATTGCAGAAAGTTCTCTTGGACAGCACTAAACCTTAGTGATACCTTGAAGTTAAAAAAAAATGTCGAGTCCTGGTTCTTACTGATGAATTTGAGCAAGTTATAGTCTGTGCCTCAGTTTCTTAAAGTGGAGATAATGTAAATCTGACACAGTACCTGCCGTACAGGTACTGAATAAATAGTAACTGATCTTTCCATCAGCCCAGTATCCAAGCTGTTTGGTAACTTCCATTGTGCTGGATGTGGGGGATGACATCATCCCCGTCTCAGGGAGACTTGGGGGCCAGTGAAATGGCTGGGTGTGTAAATAGGTGCATTGAAGTATTTCAGATTCACTACTGGAAGTCTGGGGGGGCCCACAGTGGGTTTTTTTATGGAAGAGGATGTCAGGAAAAGTTTCAGAAGGGTTGGCCTTTGAGCTGAGTTTTCAAAAGATTTTCTTCCATGTGGCCGAAAGGGATCTCTTGAAACAGGACAAGGTACTGTTAAAGAAAGGACGGAGGGGCTGGGGGTGGGGGCAGCTTGGACAGCTGTCATCCCCTTTATGACATTACCTCTGTGACTCTCCCCTTCCTGCCTTGCAGAATTAGGTGTGCCCTTCTCTGGGGCATATGGCTGTATCCTAGCTTTGCAGTGAATGTTGCTCTCATGAAGGTGCTCACAGTGAAGGTGGATGTCCAGTAGAGTATGGTGGCTGCTCACTCAGCCCTCACAGGACAGCATTGCCTGGGTGAGCCAACCAGAACTCTCATTTGTCACAGATCCATCTCCCAGGGTTCAGAGCCCCTAAAACCAAATTTGCTGGCTGGTGAGTACAGACTGGATGGTTGCCAATCAGCCGGTCCTCTCCTGATGGCATGCGTTCTGGGAAGCCCAGTCACCAGCCACAGGGTTGGGAAGGGTGATTTCAGTGGTTAGGGTTGGCTGGACAGCTCTGTCGAGGACCCACCATCACTGTATGAGCAGATCTACCAGTGAATAAAAAAGCTGGGTTCATGGACTTTGCTTGAGTGGGCATTGCTAGAGTTTGCCTCGCAGACTGTCCATTTGGTACTTGCATTACTGATAGGCAACCCTCTGAGTGATGACATGGACCTGTGTTTAATAGCATTTCTTTTTTTTTTTTTTTTTTTTTTTTTGCGGTACGTGGGCCTCTCACTGCTGTGGCCTCTCCCGTTGCGGAGCGCAGGCTCAGCGGCCATGGCTCACGGGCCCAGCAGCTCCGCGGCATGTGGGATCTTCCCGGACCGGGGCACGAACCCGTGTCCCCTGCATCGGCAGGCTGACTCTCAACCACTGCGCCACCAGGGAAGCCCTAATAGCATTTCTGTTTCAGAGTGGGGCTCTGGAGTCAGATCCGGGTTCCAGTGCTGCCTCTGCTGTGCGATTTAAGGCATATTATTTAACGTCTTGGAGCCTTATTTATCTCACCTGTGACACTTGAGTTTAACACTTTCCTACTACTTCCAAGAAGGTTGCTTACAGTCTTGTCTTGAGGGCTGTTGCATAACTTGTTTATTTCTGCAGTCGACTCAAATAATGATACTTTATTTCCGAGGGGTTTTTTTTGGGCGGGCGGGGTGTGTTCTGCACTTCATTATTTTCCCCATAATACTGCCCTGGCTTTCAAATCTACCCCCAAGGACCTTACCCTATCTCCATCTGCCAAGTCCTGCAGATCTGATCAGGCCTCACCAGGACACTGGCTTCCTTTTAGTTCCCCAGGAAGGTTCTTACGCTCTCAGGGCTGTTGCTGAGACTTTCCTCTCCCTGGAATGCTATTCCTACCTGGCAGACTTCTCAACACCTTTGCATTCTGTAGGCTGCAGCTTACATGTCACCTCTTCAGAGAGGACATCCTTGATTACCTTATGTAAAGTGTGCCCCCTTCCTAGTTTCAGTTCATTGATTGTTCATTGCCCTTATCATACCTACACCTGTTTTATTCCTGTGTTCCTTGCTTTTTGTTTCCCCTTCACTTGGCTGTAAGCTCCGTGAAATCAGGGACCATCTCTAGGTTGTTCTTCCGGTCCCCAGCACCTAGCTCACCACCTAGCATGTGGTCCCCTATGAATACTGCGGAATAACTGAAGCCCCAGGAAGCGCTGGATAAAGAATCAGGACTCTGTTAGAAACTGGCGGACCAGTGCTCTGCGCTTCCAACTCTAGCGCCCTGTTCATTAAGGGTCTGGGGCAGGTGAGGCTCGGAGTTTGGCCTGCTGGAAGTAGTCCCGCCGAACCAGCCACCCGAGTCCTGACTGTGCCGGGTGAATGGTTTCTAAGGCGACAGAAAACAGAGGGCGGGGCCTCCGAACGAGGGCCCAGCTCGGGCAGGACCCTCCCGCGAGAGGGCTGCGCGCGGAGGGGAGGCGGGCTCTGGGGCCCTGGGAACGCGCGCGCGCGCGCGGCGAGGGGCGCATGCACGGCCCCGGCGCGGCGCTGCTCCTGAGGGCGGGGGAGCTGGGGGCTGCACCCCGCGGCTCCACCGCCTGGTACCGCCGGGACGCGGGTCCAGCGAAAGCCGCTGCCGTCCGAGCCCCGCACCAGTCCCCCCCGCCTCATGGCCCTGGGCGCGCCACTCCGAGTTCCGGCTTCCAGAGGAGGCTCCGGCAGGCGGCCAAAGGTGGGCCGACAGCCCAGCCTCGGCGCTCCGCCTAGGCTGCGACCTCGAGTCCTCGGCCCACGGCAGCCACGCCCAGGGAGCCGCGGATCCCTGCCCCGCCGGGCCCTCGCCCGCCCCGGCCCAGGAGGACGACCCGCCGCAGGACGGTGAGGCCCTTTGCGGCCCGCCCCTCCTGGCCCGAGGCGGGTGGGGCCAGGACCAGAAGACTGGGGGCGGACGTGGGGGTCCGGAGAAGAGCAGTAGAGGAGGAGCATCCGGACGAAGAGTGGAGAGAGAGGAGGGGTGCCTGCCCCCGCCCCACTGCGCATCTTTCTGCAGGTTCTCTTGTCCTTTGGCGAGGATTCTCCAAGGCGTCTCAACACATGGGCCGGCTCAGAACCGCCAAGATCCACGTGGAGAGAGCTATCAAGGTCGGAGGGAGCTTGGGGGTCTAGAAAGGGCCTGGAGAGTGGCTCATCCTGCCTCCCTGCACTATTTCCTCCCATCCTTAGAAAACATACAAGAAAAAAAATCCTTGATCCCACACCCATCTTCAAATACTTCCCCATTTTTCAATACCCCGTTCACAGCCAGACTTCTTGGCAGAATTGTCTACTTTACCTGGGCTTCACTCCTCAGCTCCCACCACTCTGGTTCCCTGCCCTTCCCCACTCCCATCGGGAACCAAGGAGCCAGATCCAGCAGTCAGTCCCTTTTCTGTCCTGACCTTGGTTTGGCACCTTAGGCACCAAGCCCCCCAACACATACCTTCCCTTTTGGCTGTCTGCACACTCCTAGTTCTCCTTTCTCCCTCCCTGGCAGCTACTTTTCAGTTGCCTTTGAAGACTTCTTGGGACACTCCTGGTTCACTGGGTCCCTCTCCACACCTGTCTCCTTGGCCGTGAGTCCAGTCAGTGTGCTATGCCCGCTCCATGCCCTTTCCAGCCCAGCCTGTCCTCTGACTGCACGCTCCGGAGACCCAACCCCCACACTTGACATCTCCGCCCAGGGAACATCAAAGCATTTCAGACCCATGTCCCAAACCATGCTCTTGAATTTCCTGCCCAAACCTGTTCTCCTTCCCTGCTCTCTGGTGTTCTCCATCTCCCAGTTGTTCAAGCCAGAAATCTGATCTTTCTGTTCCCTCACCCACACATCCAATCCCGTCAGCAAAACTAGTCTCTATTTCCAAAACGAATCTCAACTCTATTGCCTTGTTCCCATCCATCTCCACTGTAAGAACCTGCAGAAACCACAACAGCCTTCTTTTTTTTTTTTTTTTTTTTTTTTCCCGGTACACAGGCCTCTCACTGTTGTGGCCTTTCCCGTTGCAGAGCACAGACTCCGGACGTGCAGGCTCAGTGGCCATGGCTCATGGGC